CCACAGCCTCAATTCTTAACAGTAGCATGAGCTCATCTGCTTTCCCAACAGAAGCCTCTTCCCAAACTTCCAGCTCCTCTTAGCTACACGGTGTGGATCTCTGGCCAGTAACTTCAGAGAAATCAGACTTAAAAATGCTGCTCCACTCAGTGTGGGACCCATGCAGGGGTGTAAGTATTTGTGAGGAACACACTGCAATCACAATGCTTTGCACATTTATGTAATTCCCATCATGTAAATCCAGAATGCCCTTAATAAATGTCATTGCACATGTATTAAGGACATTTTAACGGCTTGAAAAATCTCAGATAATCCAGTTTATTCAAAAATTTTGCTGGCTAGCTGAAGGGAAAGTTGTCCCAAGAAAAAAACAGGAGCAGAGGCAGTAAATAACTGAGGAAAACTGCAACCCTGATGTCCACCAAAGTGCCAAATTACAAAGTGACTCGAATCTTCAAACTGGCAGTGCAACATTCAGGAATTTATTTTCCCCACTATCTAGCAATGTTGTGCTGTGGCAGGACTAAATCTTCGACAGACAATCACATACATGGTGCTGTCTGCTACATGCCAGCAGCTGCTCAAGTTTAGAGTTTGAGAAAGTCTGAGAGCCAGAATAATCCTATTTATTTCTGAGAGATCAAACAGGATTTGCAAAAGGGTAACATATCCACAGATTAGTGAAATGTTCTCAGTTTAAATGTGGTCACTTTGCAATCGTGTCCAGTAAATATTTTCATCTGTAGATTTAAAGGAAATTTTGACCATGAGAGACATGAGAAGTGGAAAATACATATTCCATATAAAGTAATAGATGTAATATATATATATATATATATATCCATATATATATATATATGTGTGTGTGTGTGTGAAAAAAAACTGGGAATGGTATTCATACACCACCAATCCCTCCTTATCTACCTCTCATGAATTTTGACTCACTCACACAGAAAGGTTCTTCTGCTGTGAGCAAAGGGAACACCCCAACAGCTCACAGAATCTCCTTAGCACAGAAAGAATCAACATTCTCTAGTGACTGGCTTTTCTAAACGAGGTTTTCTTTGGGAGAAGGAACTTCAGGACACTATCAAAGCAGCAGGTGTTTACAAAGATACCGTCCAAGCTGGTATCATCTACAATTAATTGATAATGCATCCAAAACGATGCCCAGATGCCAGTGCCCCACGGGCAGCAGAGCCATGGAGGGGAGCACTCTGCAGCCACAGACACCAGGAAATGGGGAAGCCGTGTCAGGGAAGCTCAGCTGGGACAGTAAGGGAAGGTTCTTCACCCAGAGGGTGGGTGGGCACTGGAACAGCTCCCCAGAGAAGTGTCCCAGCACCAAGCCTGACAGGGTTCCAAAGGTGTTTGAGTGCTCTTGGTCCCATGGTTTAGTTCAGCGAGCTGGACTCACCATTCCTTGTGGCCCCCTCCCAGCTGAGATCCCCTGGCATGCATGTGCCAACCCCTGCCTGCAGCTACAGCAAGTACCTGTTCTGAAGAGCTTCCCAGAGCCCACTGCCAACAAGGGTCTTAACAAGGGCTTTGGTGTGAAACTTGCACGTCTTTGCTCTTAATTCCTTGTGCCCTGACACTGCTGTGAAAAGAGCAGTACCAATCACTCAGCTCACAACAGAAAAGCCTTCACCCAAGGCAGCTGTGAACCCACTGCTTCCAAAAGAAACTGCAGCCCCCTTAGGGGATGGGAAAACACAGTGCAGGGGACTGAGCTGTTTGCAGCACCAACCCCCTGATGGGAGCTAAAGGGCAGGAAGGAACCCTTCTGAAGGAACTCGCTACAACACTTTTATTCTTAAACAAAAACCAGTCATTTGCAAGTGGAGATCCTGGGAAAACATTACCTAACCAGTCACAGCAGACACAAACCTAATTATCAACCAGACAAGCACCATAAATAACCTAAATAGATGCACAGATGTTACCTCTGTGATAAGAACAGGGGCGGTTAGGGCTGCAGAAAACACTGGAACTCATTCAGTCACTACAGGACAACACCTGATATCTTTGAATATTCATTCCCCTGCCCCACATTTTTTTCATCCCACTGGAATTAAGGATATTTAAAATTAGATACGGCTATTTTAATACCCATCAAAACACTTTTATTCACAGCAACATCCTATCCAGCATGTCTACAGTAAGGGCAGCCAGATCACATTAGCTGGCTGTCAAGATGAAAGTCAACATATTCCTTATATATTCTCACTATCTGTGACTGCAAGAGAAGGAAGTGCCCTTGGGTTTATTTGAAGATGTAATTCCATAATGGAATACTTTGGGTCAGTGGGTAGCAATGCCTTCAGGGTGCTGTGCTCAGCTGGGCTGCTCTTCCCTGCCCTGAAAGCTGCACAAACTCCCAGGACATCCCAGTGCCAGGGCTCGCTCCCTGTGACCCCACTGGGCTCTGACAGGCCCTATTCAAACCTGCCCTGTGGCAGCTCTGCTGCTGCTTCCTGCCTTGTTTGGCAAATTTCTGGAAAGGTTTCAGTGCAGACCTGGAATGAACACAGACAGAGCAGGCACAGCCTGTGACTGCATGCTGCACTGAGTGCTGAAATAAAGACCACTTTGTCCTGATAACTTTAGAGAACATCTAGTAATACATTCCTGTACTTTGCACTGGAGATACTTTTCTTCCCAAGAAAGCTTCATTTGCACATCCTACTCAGGAAGGAGAAAACTTATTTCCTCAGGGAATCTGCCCCCTCCTAGCTCAGTATTTGCTTTCCCAGCAGTGCCCACTCAGGCAGTGAGAGGGCAGGGCTGAGCTCTCCTGACACTGTGCAACACACCCGAATCTTTTACCAACCCACCACAGGTACTCACCAGGCACTAAAGCATGGGCTTTATGAACCCTCATTCCATCAACAGACAGACAGGGGGCTGGGAAAAGGGAGAGCAAAAACTGTCTTTGAGTTAAATAAAACCATATATTAGACCCACAACTGAAAAAATACTGGGGATAAGGCTAAGTTCATTCAAGTGACTTTAATTACAAGATGATTGTTAAACCAATTTAAGCTGAGAAAACACTTTCTAAAAGTCCACATTTAAATAAGACTTTAAAGGAGCCATTTACAAAAGACGACAGTGTAAAAAATTACTTCTTTTAATCTTTGTAATCCACAAAAAGCCTCATTTTTGGAAGCTAAAGTGGACCACTGACTTAGTAAAGGCTTAGTCAGCATCAAACTTACGAAAGTGATTAAAACATTTTCACTCTTAGGAGTGTAGTAAAAATAAAAATAGCCAACATTTCCATTAAACTGATATAAAAGTAAACACATTACCAGTGAAATGATGCTGTTTCCATATGCCAAATCTGTTATTTTAGAGGTATCTGGGAGGCTTTTAAGTGAAAGTACAGCATGTTACATCCATATAGAATGAGTCTCTACCTAAAGAGCTGGCTTCTTCCTGAGAAGGTAACCAGTGGAGAGCAGGTGACCTCATGTAAGGATCCAGTCTCCCAGCAGAGGTCTAAGCTAAGAGGATTACAGGGTCAAAATTCCAGCAGCTGGGGACTTTATCTGCACATTAAAGAGATGCAGAAACTATTTAAGTGTATTAAAAAAAGTTTCTCAGGCACTCAGATTTCCAGGATGAAATTTTTCACTTTTTCTTACTCGCAGTCTCCACTGCAGACAGCTGCTCAGCAGAATATATTCATTAACACATGCAGAGCTCTGTGCTCTGCAGCCAGAACGCTCCCCGGCCTTCCAGACAGAAGTGAAGGCAGAGCATTGTGGCAAACAACTATCCTAGTTAAGGATGACCAAAGCAAGATGTCCAGGTTGAAAGCTGTAACTCAAAGAGCCAGGGAATGCCACAAGCAAAGCGCTCACTGTGAGGCACTTTCTCCCTTCTGTTTTAGAAAACAAGCCAAATTCAGTTTGGCAGGAGAGAGATGGGGACCAATCCCTCTTCAATAACTACCAGCTACTTTATTTCAGCTTGTGTACCACAAATCCACATCATAAACTTTGCACAGCATCACTCAATGCTTTCAGTTATAGGGGAGCTCAGCTACTTCTGCTTTCTCAACTTCAAGTCACATTCAGGCTCTGTGGGACTGTGTGAGAAGTCAGCCAAAAGAGCAGCACAGGTAACATGTGAATGCTCTCTCATCAGTGAGAAAAACTGCACATGGTATCTCATGTCTGAAAGAGTGGAAAAGTTATTTCTTCTACTGATTTACCGCTGGTATTGTATTGTCAAATAAGGTGTTTAAAAAAGTGTAAACACAGCAACGGTTCTGTCCAGAACATTCTCCTCCAGTGACATCCCAGCTAAACAAGACCATTTATAAAACCTACCAGAAACAAGAGGAAAGGCACCATAAGTTACGTGAGATTCTGAGACACAATTGCCAAATTGCATTTTTTGTACTGTGATTCATTTCACCTTTTAAAGGAGATTTTCAAGCTCTGCTGGCAGAAATGTCAGTTTTGTTGAAATAAGTGCTTTTACTCTGACATTTACATCACTAGCACATGAGTATTATTATTGTTTTTATTATTATTATTGTTATTACTGCTCTGGCAAGATGCAGATATTTATTCTGGACTTCAATGCACGCAAAATAAATGTCTTAAGTGATCAGTTAACTGTGAAGTTCATGCAGTTAAAATTATTTACTCAAACATGGCAATAAATATTTTTAGTCAGCAAATTATACCAGCATAGTAATGTACTGTCCAGTAAGGAATATCCAGGGGAGAAACAGTTGTACTGCACCACTGTATGTTCTTAGCAAGCTCTATCACCATACCCTTGTCAGGCAAACTTATTTAAGCATTCCACAGAGATTAGCAAGGCTTCTCCCAATGAACTCACTAAGCTAATGACCAATTCACTTGGTAACTGGCTACTACAGTTCTCAAAACTGAAATGCAGTGTGCAAAATTAAAATCAGCACTGTGATGATCCCTGGTGCAACATTTGCTGCAATGAGACAAAACTCTTAAGAGTCAAAGGAAGTCAAAAAAACTTTATTCACAGCAGAAACGCAGACTTAGGAATTTTCCTTTATCAAAATATGCCCCTTATGGTTACTTACATCTGTGCTCTAACAGAACTGTACAATATATATAAACATATATATAGAAAAAATAACAACAAAAAAAGTCAACTGCTGCGCTTCCTTAATATTAATCATCATCTTCTTCCTCTTCATCACTGATCACGTATTTCTTAGGCTTCTTACTTGCTTTGTCATCATCATCTGCTTTTCTTTTTCCAGAAGGTTCACCTTCCTAAAGGCAAAAAAGGACAAAAGTAAACCACTGTATTTCCAGCTAAAGAAGAAAAAGCACAGAACAACAACAAAAATACCTTTAAGTCATTCTTGTAAGAAAAGCAGAATTACTAGTTCCAGTTTTCCATTCTGTGCTACTGTGAAGCAGGGCTGGTTCTGTGCCAGTCCTCACCCTCAGCACTGAGTGGCTGCTCCCAGGGTCAGACCAGGAGGGTCCAGGAAGCTGCAGCTCCACCCCTTGCTGGCCCTGCTCTGCCTGAGCATGGCATGCACAGAGTCTCTCTGCATTATCTGCATTTACAGCATGTGAGGAGCACTCTCAGCGGGTTTCACGAGCTGGAGAACTTGCACTGAGCTCTCCAGCACACTGACACATTCCCTTCAGGCAGCCTCTGCAGCTTTGCTAAGTTTTCAGACTATTTATACCTGAATGGCCTGAATCAGAGCTACTGAAGCAAAGAAGGAATTCAGGAAATGGGCAGGTATTTTGCTCATCAGAAAGACAAAACTAAACTAACTGCTCTCTGGCATAAAGAAAAAAAATTAGGAAGACTCACTGGCACTCAGACCAGTTAACAGTCCAAGAAATGTAACAGTTTATAGTTTATGAGGCTTCAAAGAGCTGGTCAAATGAACTCAAATCACTGAGTTAATTACCTGCTTACAAGCAATACCATAAAGACTTTTATAGGGTTGATCTACAGTTTTTAGGTCATGGAGTCAACAGGTTGATTTTTGCTCCAGGTACATTTCCTCTAGTTCAGTTTGAATCATCCTTCCAAACAACATTTTAAATTACGAGTTGTTCATGCAAAACTCATCAATAGCGACAGGAGGAACAAGTGGTAATGCAACTATTGTTGAAAAAGAAGTGTATCTTTAAAAATACTCTCAGGCCTAAGTAACCTCATCCCTTTTCCCATCTGTTGGTTCTGGAAGTATGGGTTTGGCTTTTTATTTATTTTTTTTAAAAGCAACTTGCTTTGATTTTAAGGAGGAAGGATTGAGTTCTATAACTTTAGTGTTTCAGAACTCCAAGGAATAATTATTTATCCAAAAGTGTCTGATTCTATATTAAGGTGTTAAGTACGTACCGGGAGAATCGCAGTTACGAAGGAATTTTAAGCATGGAAAACAGAAATTAACAGGGGTGGGAATCTCAATGATAGCTTCTTCCTCAGAACAAACATTCTCTTGTAATCTAGCTGGGCTATTGTTCAGTGAGTCATCTTCCTGTTCAGCAGAATATCCCCATTAACTGCAGCAACAGTGAAACTACTTGCTGTCTGGTGATAAAGTATATTATTAATAACAGACTGACATTTGCAGTAACGGTAACAAATTGTTATCAGCACAAAGATTTGTGCTGCACTGCTGACTGACAGCAGGTAAAAGCAAGTGAGTGTACAAGGAAGCCAGAGTTCCACACGTGTGGGTATGCACTGAACACCACACTCCCCCTGCGGGGACTGAACACAGGAACTCGAGCACCACTGGGGCTTTCTGTGACACTGCAGCACCACTCCAAGGCCCCAGAGGAGCATTACCTTCCAGTCACTCTTTAAAATGGAGGCTGGGCTCCTCAAGCAGCAGAGAAATGCTGCTGATTAGACCTTTTCTTCTGAGAGAATGGAACTGACGAGTCCTCACATTGCTCTGTCATGAACTAACATATCGAGTAAGAGTCTTAAAAATAAACAATTCAATTTCTACTAACAAATGCTCACAGGGCTTACGAAATTGCAGTTTTGTCTACATGGCTCACTATGGCTGTTATATTCTCTGATATATTAAATTTTTCTGATATATAATAAAAAGCCAGGAATCTATGTCTTTAGAAGACAAAACTAATTTTTACTTATTCCACTTCACATTACAATGCCTGTTAGTTCAAATAACTCAGCTGACCCTGTAAGAGCACCAAGAACCTGCATTCAGCACACAGAAAACACCCAAGGGACTGGGGAGTGAGGCCTCCCAGGGATGTTACAGGAAACACACTACAGAAATGAAAATGAGAGCAGCTTACTCCCTTGTATAACACTGCAGTGCTGTATCAGCAGTGACAGACTTGAACTGAACCTCAAATTCAATGTTCACAAAGACTCATTTAATAAGACCCAGCGGTAATAAATTACAAACCAATATAACACCATTTTAGATCAGGAAACAGCACTACTGCTGTAGCTAACAGTTAATTTGATCAGGGCCCAGTGTTTCAGATGATGCTGGGGTGATGGAAAATGTATGGCTAGCAATGGAAAACAAGTCTTTTTAACTCAGTGTTTTAACTCTTCTACTTAAAAAGAGCAGAAATACTATGTGAAAATGCTTCTGCTATTTCCATAATAAACAGGAGAGGACCACATAACTTAGGTAACACTGCACTAGGATTCCAATATTAAGTCTTCTTCCTCCTTGCATAATTTTGGTAAATTCATTTTACATAACTCTGCATAAATTTTTCCATCTTTAAATCAGCAATAACAATAGTGTCCTCCTTTGGGAATTACTCAGGTCTGCGAACTAATGCAGTGCATAAGAAATTGGTGATTAATTACCACGGAAAGCATGCCAAGTCAAATAACACATTCATCATGGCATAAATGAAACCACAGAAGTCCCAAGTTTAAACACTAGATTTAGTGAAGGAAATGTTCCTCATTAAAAATGAGCAGCTTAAGAACAAAGTCCTTCTCTTACCTCATCACTATTAAGTTTCTTTGCCTTGAGTAGTCTTTGTGTTTTATCTTCATCTGAGCCTTCGTCACTGTCAGAAGAGTAGATTCTAGCCCGTTCCTCTGCACATTCCGGAAAAATATAAAAAGCCAAATATGTTTATCTGAAACTGGTGAGGAAGAGAGAATATTTAAAATGTGTTCTATTTAGTGCCACAAAATGTTTGCAGAACCTAAGTCCAGAGTAAACAAAATAAACCTACATGAACTGAATTAACGTCTCTCCACGTATCAAATGAACTGGCAAAATCCTATCTTACCATGGCTCTCCTGAGCAATTACCCTGTCTGAATCACACAGGCCTTAATGACATGCTGTTAAGGTTTATGATTACCTCTGATGCCACCTTTGTATCTGTTTTTGATAGCTGCCAGGCTGATGGCATCATCCCCCTCGTCCTCCTCATCGTAGCGGTCGGGCTCCAGGTAACTGGCGCTCAGCCCGCGCTGGTGCTGCTTCTCCCGCATCCGCCGCTGCTGCGACTCCCGCCGGATGGACGCCCTCAGCCTCTCCTCTTCTTTCTGCCAAACAGACAAGCAGTGTACTGAGGGATAAAAAAACCCCAAACCACCTCAAGAGCACTACTACTGTAGCTTTTTACACAGCAGTGTAAAGGCTGCAAATATTCTCCTTGTTTTGTCATCTGCCAGGTTAAGCAAGCCACACCCATGGCTTGGGACTCTTGCTTAAAACTCCAAAACATTAGTTTTTCATAAATCATAGAATATTAAAAAATGTCCGGCACAGTTGTGATAATTAAGATTAAACCAGCAGACTGGATAGTTCCATGCCACAATACCTTGATCATTTCTGTGCGCTGAGACTCTGGATCACGGCCTGCCATTGGCAAAATACGAATTTTCTGGGTCTTTGAACATCTGTCTGCCAGAGACAGAGTCATCTTTCTGTGAGTGGCACTGTCTGTAGAGTGTGGCCTGGTAAAAAATTGCTAGGGGTTAAAAACTTCTTTATGGAACACATCCATTTTCAAAAGCCAATGGTAGGGCCAGCATACTTGAAAATTCAGAGATTCATCTGCACAAAAGTAAAAGCATCAACCCTTTTTATAAAAGTATTTATATGTACTGTGACAGCTACTGGAGACAGCAAGTCTTCTCTCAGCAAAATCAGCAGTCTAGCCATTAACAGTTGGACTCAAAGATCTCTAAGGCCTTTTTTACCCTTAATGAGACTAGAATCCTACAATCTTTGGCCCTTATCAACATCCTCCCTATCAACATCAACCTTAAACATACATCCTCCTCACAGTTCACACCAATATCTCAAGAAGCAGTTGCCAGCTTGATAGCAACTGTACCTCAGACAGAAGATTAATTTCAGGGAACAGTAATCTTTTTTCTGACTCAAATAAGGATTGCATGTAAAAATGCAAATTAAAGCATGTATACAAAAAACCTATATGTAGCCTACACAATGCAGGAAATGGCACATTAACATTCCCAGCTTGGACACCTAATGTAGGACAAGTCTTACTGAAAAACTGAGTTTGGAAAATAGCACATTCTTACTAACCAGTGAAGCTCTGAAGCTTTACAAACTGGTATAGCTAATCTTTATATACCAGTTACAACACTTCATTGCAAAAACAGTATCAACATTTGATATAGAACAGCAGTTTACCTGAAGGTTAACTTGGTCTTGAACACAGCCTGTCCTTGCAGGCCTGTCCCTTGTCTGATGAACAAGTGATTGTGATCTCCTTGTAGCGGCGCCTTGTACACGTCAAAGACCTCATTGCCCAAGTGGAGGGACATGCTTAAAAGAGATTCCCACATCAGTTACTTGATAAAACCACTGCAGTCTATTTTTTTGCCTCATTTCTAAATGAAAAAAGCCTTTATGTTTCCTTTTTATATCTAGCCAATAATTATATTTCAATCTAAACTAAGCAGAGCATCAACCTTTCAAAGCACGGAGACTAAAATAATTTGTAGTGTGCAGAACTGATGTCAAAGTTTGCTGACCTTCCAATTTTGCATGTCACTGCAAGAACAACTGCATTACTTCAGTAACAAAGAGTGCAAACTAACCTTCCATCTGACCATTTAACTATCCGTGCATTGCTTTCTCTGATCTCATTCCCTTCCTCATCTCGTCGCATCCGCCATCGTATTGTGTTTTCTACCTGTAGGGGAAAAAAACAAAACAGTTTTTCTAGCTCATAAGGAATACTGTGTTAAAATACTCTATACAGGTCAAGAATTGCAGTTAGAAAGCCTTGATAATTTGTGTCATAATGCAAAGCAATAAAGGTGAAAAGTATTGCTTTTATAGGTGAAATGCAGCTGTCAAGCTTTTTAAAAATCTATGACTAAAATAGATCAACTTTCCTCAGTGTCCACACTTTAATAATATGAAAACTCAAAACACCATTCTAAAAGATGTGAAATAGACTTGGAAGGAAAGTGCCTAGGTGAGTGTAAAAGACAAAAGAAAAATTAATACTGTACCTTGAGTTTTAACCTAGTTCTACCTTCTTCATCAAGCATCTCCTCATCTTCAAATTCATCTTCATAATACTGGGGATCAAAAGGCCTGCAACAAATTTTACAACACATTCTTTATTCTTCTAAGAAAATTAGTGCAGATTATTGCAGAGTTGTGCAAGTTAAGAGGTGCTTGAGAGTTTTAGATTATTCCCTGCCCACAACAGCAGGCACTGCAGTGTGGGACAGCCCTTTCTGCAGCCAGGAAATTCACTGCACTAATTCCCAGCCAGGGGACCCAACCCAAGTGTTCTCTCTACCATCAGCTACAGGATAACATTCACACTCTGAATGTTCCAGCTGGACCAAACAAGTCTGCCTCAGAAAATTCTGTTTTCTTATGTCAGCATGATGAGGAGGGGGGGAACCCTTTCCCTAACCTCTTTCCTAACAGCTCCTAGGCAGCTCAAGGGAAAAGTGATGGACTCTGCTACTGCAAATTTTGTTTTCAGTCCTGTCTGACCTCCAGAGATCACCAGGAGTTCTCTCACTGGTAGCAGCCACTACCCGGATTTGGAACAGTTCTCCCCTGAAAGAGCCCCAGCCCAGGAGAGTGACTGAGCAGAGGTGTGACCCCAACAAGGCTGCCCTGCCAGCTAAAACTGCAGCTTGGGAACAAAGCAGGAAAGCTGCTCAGCAGGACACTCAGACTCAACAGCCTCGTGCTGCAAGTGCTGAAGGAGGCCTTTAGGGCCAAACCTAACATCACAAACAACTCTTATTTAATAATTTATTTTGCTGCTCCCTAGGCATTCCAGTAAATGTCTTCAGTTTGGGTTAGATGAATAGGAAAACAGGTAACCAGCCTCTTCATAAATAGTAGATTTAACATACACAAATAAAAAAGGCTTTGTTCTGAAATTCAAAATTATGTTTTTAATCACTGGGAAGTGCATAAGTGTCAGTGCATTCACCTTTCACATCTCTGAGAACCTAAACTTATGCTTACAATTCAACTGATAGCATGTGCTTTCAATTAAATCACATTTCTGTCTGGTTTTTACAGACAGTAAGTTATTCAATCTAGCTGAAATCCACATTCATAATAAAATTACCTGATTAGAAAACAACCATTCCTATTCACAACCAAAAATATGCATCTTAATGTCAACAACTTTAAATAGGGTAAACACATACTACACAAAATTAATATAGGGAAACACTAAAAGACTTTATCAGTCCTGTATTTAATGTACAATTACCTGGGCTCCACACTGAGGAAGTTGGGCAGCTTCACAAAATACAAATCATTACCCAAGTCTGTGTTTACTTTTGGTATTTCTACCTCTATTCTGGTCTCTGGAATAGGCTCTTCTTCCTGCTGTTCTTGACTCAGTCCATTCTCATCCTAGTGGAAAAAAAAGAACAGGAGCATAAGTGAAAAAACCTATCTGGCTACTGCTGCTCCAATAATTACATTTTGCTTAAAGAAAAGTCATTCATAGGCACAGAGAGATCAGGAAGATGTGGAGAAAATAATTCAGGCAATTTAAATGAAAGGAATTTAACTCATTGAATGAAGAATTCAACACATTGTCATGTGGCACTTTAAGTGACTTCAAGCACCAGTGCAAACTCAAGAGACCAAAAGACAATAAACAACAGCAAAGGAGCCAACAGAGTTTTCAGCTGAGCATTGGAGACTGGGGGACCCTTTCTACAGGATTAAAGAAGGTATTTTTATCTATTATCAATAAAAGTTGAAAAATTATCATAAAACTAAAAATATTTCTCAAATAGTTGCAATAAGGTATCAAAGACAGCTATGGCTTTGTATTTTAGTTGGTAGCTATCAAACTATTCTTTATATTTTTTTAAAGTTCAAAAAGTGGAACAGGGATGGGAGAAGGCAGATGAATCTGATATTGTTATGTATACAATTTTAATAATTCTTTCAGCTAGGACAAAATCATCTGTAATGCTACTTTAATGTCACTACTCTTTTTTTTCACTAGAATATTATCCAACTCAATTGGTCTTCTGCATTTCAGAGTGCAATGGCATGTTAATTATCTCAAAAGTCAAGTCCACTCACAATGGGCTGTCCTGGGGTTGGTGGCTTGTCTTCTCCATCACTCCCTGAGGAAATGTCATCGGCGCCTCCAAACAGATCCATGACATCTGCATGCTCTTTAGCAGAAAAATTACAATTTTAAACCACACATATATATGCACACACAGCCCTAAAGCAAGATTTATTCATCAAATAAGGAAACCAAGTTGAAAAATGACAACAGAAGAGTATAAGATAATCCTTATTCAAGTAACTGAACAGAAGTAAAGAAATTTCATTATGCATTTTGGAGGTTTTACTTCTCAGAATATAAGCACCTCTTCCTCAGCCAGCTAAACCAACACAAAATACAGTACAGGTTCCCTGGCCTGCTCTGATTAAAGGAACCATTTTTCAGTATCTTTCAGTAAAAATGCATGAAAGAATATTTGCAGAAGAGAAAACTTGACAGAGCTGTCTGGAGAGGACCAGCATGTGCATCCCACACAGAATTCCTGATGTCTGTTTGGTTATTTCCATGGCACCGTACAGCAAATGCTACCAATTCTATCAAGCCCTGTAGCTGATGAATGGCAGGCTCAAGAGGAGGATTAAAGAACCCAAAACCCCACAAACCCCCTCAACATTTACCTTTCTGCCCTTCTGTGTCACTCTCCGCTTCTGAATCTGATGTAATCGGTTTCTTCCGCTTCATTCGCAGAACTTCATCCTCGCTATCGCTGCCCCTTGCAGACTCTATCAAGGAGCATAATTATTCTCAGCAAATTAGAAATTTTGGTCCACAAATTTAAAAATTCCTATTAATAAGCTCTGAAAGTACTGCATCAAAAAAATTGCAAAGATGACTATAGTTAAAAACTATGAAATCAATGCCTTTACATTGAAGTTTCAATCTTTTCAGGCCAATGTGAATAAAACAACAAAGAGAGACCAAACCAGCAGCAAATCATTATTTCTGTATTCATTCCTACCAGATTTGTGCTCTTGCTCCTCCTCATCAGAGTGCTGGGCCCTTTCCTCATCATCAGAGTTCTGAATCTTCTCCTCCTCAGACCGCTGGGCCCTTTCATCATCATCTGAGTTCTGCATCTTCTCCTCATCCGAGGCCTGTGGCCTTTCCTCATCATCAGAGTTCTGCATTTTCTCCTCATCTGAGTTCTGGAGTCTTTCCTCATCATCAGACACCTGTGGCCTTTCATCTTCATCCGAGTTCTGCACCTTCTCTTCATCGTCAGAGTTCTGCTGTCTCTCCTCATCATCAGAGTTCTGCTGTCTCTCCTCATCATCAGACTGGTCACTTTTGTCCTCCTTGCCCCACTTCTCATCCTCCGAGTGCGCTTTCTCAGAACCCTCTCCCTCAGAACGATGGCTGCCTTCCTCCGAGCCGTGCTCACGCTCATCCTCATCATCATCGTGGGCAGCCTCGGAGGCGCTGTGCTGCTCCCCGTCCGACTGCTCGTTGTCCTCGTGCTCCGAGTGCCCCGAGCCCTCCGAGCGGTTGTAGGATCTCTCGGAGTGGTTGTCGCTCCCCGAGTGATGGGATGCCCCTTCATCCTCGCTGTCATCTCCAAATAACTCCTTGTTGCTGGGTTTTACGGCCTCCCTGTCGTCATCCTGGTCGCTGTTGCTGCCAGAAGCATTGCTCCCAGAGCCAGCGTTCTCCTGGTCGGAATCGGAATCAGAGCCAGAATCGGAATCTGCAAAACAAACATCACCCTTTCAAGAGTCAGGATGCTGTGAGAGATGGTCACAAGTTTCCTTCATTTGCCTCATGACCGCTGCAAGGACCCTGCAGACCCTGACAGGAGCTGTGGCGTGGCCGAGGTGGATGTGGACACTTGCCAAGCGACTGCGAGCAGGGGCACTCACTGTGCTTCTACAGAGCCCTGCATGTGAGCAGGTTGTGACAAGCGGTGGCTTGTACCTGTACCTGTATGCCCGCACCTGGTTCACAGATCAATGGGCTCTACACAATGGCCCCTCAATCCTCCCCACCTTCTGGCCAGATACCTCTCACTTTGGTTAAAGACTGTATTAACGGTGACTTTTTGGAAAGACTTTGGTGCACCCCACGGACGATGGCGAATCCATGTGGCTGGACCGTCGAGGATCTTGTCTCGACAGTAGGAGCTATATTCCCCTTTCCCTCTTTTTATCTCTATTCTTTATTTCCTTTTCTGTCCTCTCTATCGCATTTTCTGTTGGTACCAAAACAAAGGTTGTGATTAAACTGATGGTCCCCTGCCGTTTGCCTTTTTGCACTTTTGGCATCCCTTAATGAACCATCACGACACCCTGCACAAGCAGATTGTGACAGATGTCCCTCTGAGCACGCACGTGAGATGATGTGCATTGCTTTAACAAAAGCCCCGAAAACACAACCCAACCCCCAGAGAGAACCTACAGAGAACTGTCAGCAAGATCAACAAAGTCAGTGAGAATAGTAAAATAAAATGGCTGCTAATAAAAGGACAGCCAAAGAAAGGCACAATGAAAATGATCGAGGTCCAAAGTGTCAAAGCACAAGCTGTGATCTAAGATTCTAAAACTGTAGAATGAATAAAGAATTACACAAATGAAGTAAATAATTGAAATAGTGAGGGCTTAAATAATTAACTATATGGATGCGATTTATCAGATCCTAAATATCAAAAATTGTCAATATCTACTTAATCCAAATCGTCTACCCAGGGAAGCTTATGACAATGGAGCTACTCCTCAGTGCCGAGGCTGGTAAATGGAGTTTCCAACAGGAAAATAAAAAACCACCTGCCTTAAAAAGTAATTTACGGGAACGCATGCAAGAATTTTTAAAACGTCAGGTTCCTAAACCAGATGTTCTACTGTTTCCAGGATTGGGCTGCAGCCGCATAACCCTCCCTGTTTCCTGCAGGTGCCGGACCCCGGCCGCGGCCCCGCACCGCTCGCCCCACTCCCTCCCTGCCGCCCGCGCTCGGGAGCCGCGGCTGAGGCGAGGCGGGACAGGCGGCGCAGCCCGCGGGTGCGGGCGGAGGGAGGGAGAGCGAGAGAGAAAGAGAGAGAGCCGAGAACCGCCACACCTTTGTGCTCGGGCTCCGAGTCCGCGTCGCTGCCGAACAGATCCGCCATGTCGGCCATGGCGGCAGTGACGTCACACGGCGCGCCGCTCGCGCGGGCCGCCCGCAGCCCGGCGGGGGCGGCTCCCAAAGGGGCCCCTCCCCTTAAAGGGGCACCTCCCCTTAAAGGGGCCGCGCCCGCCGCCGTCAGGGGACGTGGCCGGACGGGCGGCGGCACCACGGGCCGGGGCCGGGGCCGGGGCCGGGGCCGCCCGGAGCACCGGCAGCGCTCCGCACGGCGCAGCCGCCCTCCTCTCCCCTCCCCTCCCCTCGCGGCGGTGCCGCTCCCGCGCTCCGATCGCCCCCGGCTGAGGGAGTCCCGTCCCGCAGCGGCGCCCGGCCGCTCCCGCCCGGCCGCAGAAGGAAAGCTGTGTTCTCATATAAACGCCAGGGCTTCAAGCGGGTCCGTGCAGTACTAAAACAAACAAACAAAACCCCGCAGCCACAACAAGAATACAGTACTTTAATCATCCACAGATTAGTAACTGTTTTACTATCTGACAGCATATAGTGCTGGCATGCTAAAATACTCAATACCTGCTTCCCCAATGGAAATTTAAATTGAACCCTTGCTTGTTTGTAGCTTACAAACGCAAGATTACTCAAGTTGCAGAGAGAGTGAGGCTATTTCTTTAAAATACAAGAGTAAATATGTAACTGCTCTGAAATATTGATTGTGTTTCCATGCTTAGCTTGAACCAACAGAATCAACATATGCGGTCAATTGATTTCTGCATTAAGGCGGAAAAATAATCAATAAGAAAACAGTATCTCTTTCAGAAAAAGACCTTGTGCTTATGGTGACTGATTATCAAAGTAATACCACTCCTGCACTTCCAATCAGTGAAATCATATGCAGGATCTCACCACACTCGATGGCATTACATCAGCGTTCACTTCCTTTGTTGAGACTGTTGAAGATTCCTGGCTACAGACTGAATTTCTTCATTTATTCCAAAAAGGACACACACTGCAGGCACAAAAGTGATTGCTGTTAACTGTTCCATGCACCACACCAAAGGTCTTGCACCAATTTGGATGATTAAACCCTTCTGGTTGAAAATAATTGTTTTCTATGCCCAGGCTGTCAGGTATCTGTCCTAAAAGTCACAAGCAGTCAAATTTTTAGCTGTTGTCTACAGATTCAAACCATTTAACTATCATTTGTGACAGGACACCTGAGAGCTGCTCTGCCTTTGATTGGAATATAAATAATTAAACAGCCAATTTTGATTTAGTAAAAGCAAGAAAGGGGTTTGGGCTATTATTTCCATAATCCAGCCTTTCAGTTTTCTCCTTCATTTTTAAAGTAGGAGATAACTGCCTAATCCTTTTAGGCAGTGATAAAACAACTCATCATAGAATCCTAATACATGAACAGATTCTGTGAACATGCAGCCCTTCAACAAATGAAGGAAGAGACTAGAGCCTGTTTTTTGACACAAAATGATTATAGTGCCTGGCAAATAAAAAGTAAATACAGCTTTAGGCAACTCAGCACATGACATGCTTTGGCCATGTTTATACAGCAGTGTCTGTCTGTAAAAAGACACAACTTCTGACTGTATGCATATTGTATTAGAATTATTTCAAAGTTTATTTTAAAAATCTAAAAAGTTCTTGAAAATTTATAAAATAAGCCCTTTTTGTTACTCATCAGAACACTTCTGGTGGTGTTGTGAGGTCACTGTAAGTGTAGTCTTTGGTTTTAACTGAATTAATTCCAACTTGGATTTCAGAGCATGTATTTATTTGTAATTCTAATAAAACGCTGATCTAGAAGTAGGGGGAAAAAAGGTTCTTCCACAAGTATAAACCAGTTATATACATCCTCACTGAAGGCACTACAGTTCAAAATTCTCTGTACAGTTGCAGTAAAATTTGAAGCCACCTCCAGAATAAAGTCTGTCTTTAAAGATCCAAACCAAGATTTGCAGCAAATTACAACGTGGGCACAGTGTCAGAGACTTGCTCTGTTTTTATAGTATATACAACCCGATGCAAAATTCTCAGTCCAATATGTTTTCTACACATAAATTCTCACCACATTATGATCTTTGGATGAAAATAGTCATCAGTTGAATTCTCTGTTGCTATAAATACAGCCAAGCAGTGCTGTAGAACATTTTTGTGATCTCAAAGCAAACTAGTACAAGACAGTCCAAACAGACCTACACTGAAAAGCGTCTAGATTTTCATATTTCAAAGTGTACTGTGATTATGTACAGAAGTTGAAGTGATTCTTACTGCCTTATTAGTTTGCTGATAGAACTTTAAACACTTCAATAATGACTACGCCCTAGAGATTTGAAACTACATATTGGTTTGGTTTTGCATGTCTTAGGTAGTGTTTCAACATCAAGACAAATATAGAATGGAAAAACCCTTTCTTAAAGTGTTACTTGATTATAGAAAACTGTTAGATTTGTATGAAGTACAAACAGCTTAATGTAATGCCACTCCAGCCAGTGGTCTTACAGTTAAGGCTGCTCTTCCTGTATAGTTATGCATAATTTTAAATATTAATTTCCACTACTTCTAGAGAAATTTATACTTATGTAGATAATTTTTAAACAAAGAATATAAACTAAATAATGCTGATGAACATATGAAATCAAAATAAAATTGTATCCAGTTTAGATACAGAGCAAGACACAGTTATGGGACCTTTTGAAAAAGACTTTAAGGATTTAGGTGTAACAGAAGAACTCTCATTTTTTAAGGCTCCTGAATTTCTTTCTTGTTTTCCAAGGCTTCCATTTTTGTATTAGTCCCTCTAATTTCTTGGGAGAAGTTCTTAGCCAATTTATTTTTGTTTGGCTTAAAAGGATGTCTTTGAACTTGATTACAGTATCAAGAGCAAATAAAAAATAAACCAGTAGAATTATAACATTGCTGTGAAAGATTTCTCTTCAGTGCAGATGAACAAAGCTTAACAGCTTTACATGAGTGCAGCTGCTGGGTGAAGAATCCCTTTTCTCTGGCGCATTGCTGTCAGGAATATACACAGCCCTCCTTGTAAATACACACCCCCAGATTTTCTCACAAACATATCAGTTGGGTCAGTAGCTGCCCAATCATCTTAAAAGTCCCATTCTTTGACTATAGACAATTATACCATTGATTTGCAATTACATTTTTAGTAGAAAGCACAGCCAAAGTCTTGAAATACAAAAAAAAGTTCTTAAAAAAACCCAATCAAAACCTATGGTACAGAGACTGGCACAGTTACTGTGTCTCCATGCATCCCAAAACCGTGCTGCATACCAGCAGATGATTCTATTGCTTTGCTTTGAAAGGAATGGGGTTTCCAGTCTTTTCCCTTCTAACCCAGGTCAATGTAGTCCAAAACTGCCGAAGCCCACGGTGCTGCCCGTGCTGACTCCACGGCTCTGCCATCAGCTTTGCTAATTGTCTCCTTCAACCCTTCTCTTCCGAACTGCAGCAAGGGAGACAAGAAAGAGAAGTTTTGCTATATTAGCATTTTAACTATTTTTTGTGTTTCTGTAACTTGAACTGTTACTTTGTCACATGAAGTACCACAAATTAAGGTAGCTAACACTTAGCATTAGACAGCATTTTAAGCAAGTAAGCCGAGCTTATCGTCTTAATGCAAATATTTCCAAGGAAGGACTTGTGGGAAACATTAATCATCTTATGCCTAATAAGCAGATTTAGCCAGGATTCTTTTTTTTTACAGTTTTTCCAGTTTTTTTAGAGGTGAATTTAATTTACATGGCTTCAAAAGAAACACTGCAAGAGCTTCACGATATATCTAACACAATTTATACAGACACAGGTGTTAAAATCAACAGCCTAAAACCTTCCATTTATTAATAAAACCATTACATTGTCAGAAAATGCAAGAGCAATAAAAAATTGTGATTAAAATAACTAAAAGCTCACATGTTATTAAGATTTGAGAATATGCAATATTGATCGAATGACTGGAGTTTTCCTCAACATTTGTATTATTTTTGATGTTTTCTTTTCACATTATCAAATTATATTTTCCTTTTCTGTGCAGACAAAGCAAATGGCACTAAAGGTCATATAGGACATATAAAGGAAAAATATAAAGGACATCTCCATTTTGTTTAACCAAGTGAAGCAAACACATCTATATAAGAAAGTGAATCTGTTCTCAAATTCACTCAACGGAAAGTAGGTGGCAGAAGTTACTCATACCTGCTTTCATCAAACTGCAAGAACAGATGAAAAGAATTTCCAGCCCTAGACTTCTCCAATCATGCAGTTAAAAGTACACAGACAAGAAACAGGGATGTGGTACAACACAGTGTGAGCAAGGAGAAAGAAAAAGATGTAGACTTTTTTTTAGAAGGAACGTACAAAGAGAAATTAAGAGACTTCAAACATCTTGGTGTCAGTGAGATGGGTATTCAGAGTAACCTTCTCTGTAGCTTCAGGGCTGGAGAGATGAAAAGGTATTTGCAGAAGCTTTTACTCGCATACTCCAGACTAAGAAAGCAAAGGAAAAAAGGCAAGATATCAACAGAAGCATAGATTTTGAACAGTCAAGCACTAATAAGAGAACTAGTGAGAGAGGAAACCTTAGAAAGCTCTGAGACACCTGAAGCATTATGAGAAACAAATATGCAGTGTCTGAGTGCCTTTCTTATCTCTCTGTGCTCTATTCTAGTTACTCATCCATATCTTTCAGAGCTGTTCTCCTCCACTTTATTCAGAGGGGAATCAGATCCTTAACCAAATTCTAATTTCCTGTGTCATTCCCTCTAATATATTCCTTAACTACTGCTACTACTACTAAATTGCCTGGCCCCTTTTTACACTGATGAGAGGTCAGTACAAAGCATCTAAACCAAAAAGATTTAATTAAATAGAGTTTTAAAATGAACTTCTACTTGAATAGATGGACATGATTTTGTGGTTGAGTGCCTCAAGTATTTGACATTATTATATAAATGATTTCCATTCATGTGCTATGTTATTAACCAATTTTCTGCTCATCCATTTAAATAGGATTCTAACTGATGAGCTTAAACAAACATGACTGTAGCAAATAAAGATACCACTGCTATCAGC